TTTATATATTATATATATAGTATATTTTATGAATATGTAATTAGCTGCAAACTGTATTTATTTTAAATTTCATGTTAAAAAATATTTCATTTAAAACCATTACAAAAATTTATTTATTTTAAATATTAAAAACGTTCAAGTAACAACTAAATATGAACATTTGGACTATCGGAAAAGTTGTAATAAAAGACGATTTCCTTTGGATAGTATAAACTCTTTGGACTAACATATAATAATGGACTAATATATGGAAAAATGAAAAACAATTGTTAGATAACGAGCATTCTTACATTATAATTAAACATTTCTTATGTTATAAGAAAATAAACTTAGTTTAATCGCCCATTGCGCGAAAAAAGTTACGAAATTCTTATACTGCAGATTAGCCTAACGTAAGGCCGAAACGTCTAAGTAATATTTAATTATTTGTAATTCGATTTTATTTAATTGTAATTAAACATAACTACTCGCTAACGATATCTTGCGTTCGTGATGTATATCCTTTATCTTTTCGTTATTAAAAACGTTGTTTTTCAATACTTTTAGTATTCCAAATAATAAGTAATTAATTAATAACAATCTTTACAATAAATCGATCAATTATTGAATCGATTTATTGTAAATCAATTCATTATTGAACAGTAGTGATTAATTACTTATTTAGTGTGCTAAAAGTACTGAACAATAATATTTTTGTAGATACTCTGAAGGAATTATGTTCCAAGTCTATTAAAAAAAAGGCTGGACTCGATTATTTGGTCGGCTGCGGTTCCACATTATGCTGAAGTTCAGATTTCCATTCGAGTGTCACTTAGGTATCACTTCATGCTTGTTGTTTATCGTATACTAGACAAGGATGATATGACCTGGGAAGCACACAGGTTGGGAATCTAAACCTCTACTAGACTCATTAGTAAGATAATGGTGTCTTAGATGCCTGGAGTGAATTTGGGTCGATGTTCTATTTAAAGTGAATTCGTACGCTGTAGTTTCACAAGAATCTATCTGAGCTAATCCCGTTGGATCTCTGGTGGCGAGTCTCCACATTTTTAATATTTAAAATAAGTAAATTACTATCTTTCATACTCAATATTGGCCCATCCAGTATTAGATTTCTGATTGGGAACTGTGGGTTTCCTAAATATTTATAAAATTATTATTTTGCGAATATTCATATTCACTCAAAATGTATTCACTCAAAATATAATACATTTAAAAAATTTCAATAAATAACCCTTGCTCCTTAATTAAAAACCAACATATTTTGATGAATTTATTTGAACAACGTAGTGTTAAATTTTGTCATTTATAAAATTTGTAATTTTTAGTTGAAAAGAACAATCCAAAGACGATGATGATGCTTCTGTTACGCGTATAATATATTCTTTTTATATTCCTTTACAAATATGATTTTCTCAGACACAATGTTAATAGAAGAATTGGATGTAACAAAAACGTGCGAATAATTTTATATAACTTAAAAAAAAGGAGTTTAAAGTCTGAATATTATTCCTCTGTCAGTTTCGTTGTTTTTTAAATTATTATTTACTCTAAGCTATATCCAGATAATGCAGAATGAAAGATGAATGTGAAACTGAAAATATTTGTAATCATGTTTACAAAAATATTTAAATTGAAGTATTAATTTATTTCTCCAAAAAGTGTATTCATACTCGCATTATATTCATTATTTATTTATTTAGTCGAATATTAGATATATTCATTAGACACACTAATTAATCTAATTATTATTGTTGTCTATATTTTTGCAGTATGTACTTTAGAATAAAATCGAAATCGATTTATTATTATATGTATAAATTTTGAATCGATTTTCCGTGTAATACTTTCATTAACGGACTTTGATGAAAAACATATCATTTATTACTAGCTTTTATAATTTTGCAGGTTTTAATACTGTAATATTTTCCAATTTCCAAATTCAAACCTCAAAATGTATATGTAATTTAACAATAAAATCGATATGTTATTAATTAAAAAATTATTTTATATATACATACGAAGAGAAAGAGATAGAAGGAAATCCGAAATTGCAAAAAATCTGGATAATAATAATTATACAAAAATAAATCTGAATATACAAAATAAAATTATTTTATACTTCATTTTCGAGGACTTCCGTATTTAGAAATTCTGTATTTTATATAAAAAAAAAAACTGTTATAAATTTTTCAAACGACTAATACAATTTTTCTTATCAAATAAATATGAAGACAAATACAATACAAATGTGTGATATGATTGGACGCGTCACAAATGAAGTTAGCTTAAAGTTGCATTAATTTCGATACACTTTGTGACACACATTACGTTTAAATACTCATGATCGATGGTTAAAAAATAGAAAATTACATTTTTCCTCAATTCAATATCGTGCGTGAGCAGTTATTTATATCTAATCTTGCGCGCTAATCTCTCATACGTACGAAACGCGGATGCTAAATCTGTCAGACGAAATTCTGAATTACGACGCGCTAATATCGTACATACATATTTCTAGTGCCAAAAATTGATACGCTTACCTCAGTTGCAACATTTGCGCCTACACATTTAATGTACGTATGTAATTAAAAAAATTATATTTTATATTTATGTTGAAAACCTGTCTTTGTGTAAAAATCTTTGTGTTGAATTTTTAATATCTGAATGTTAATTTGATATAATATTACTGTTATTTGAATATTTCATGTTATACTGACATTTCTTAGTGTTAAAATAAATAACATTTTATGCGTTATGAAAAAAATGAAATGAAAAAAAACATAGAAACAATGTATTTTAAAATAAATTTTTGAATATAAATCAACAAGACTTATTAATTAAATATATTATAAATATTACTAAAAGAATATATCTCTATATATACAATTTGCTTAGAAATTGTGTCAATTACATTTCATGTTAATTTTCTACATAATATTTGTGTTGCACTTCCTGACGCATCATCTTATATTAAATTAATACAAAAATTTTAATGAACAAAAATTTCAACTGTTTGGAACGCGTGAAATGTATTCAATTTAACATAAAATTTCCAACTTTGAATATACGCATAAATTAAAACCTTGCAGCATTGGTTGGACAAGAGACACCCGGTATAAGAAGATGTAATACCGTATGAGAGAAAAATAGAGACAGAAAGAGGAAGAGAGACAGACAACGAGAAAGAGAGATAGATAAGTGGGGGAGGGGGAGAGAGAGAGAGAGAGAGAGAGAGAGAGAGAGAGAGACGCGCGTCATCACGGTTGAAGGAGCATGAATTCTGGCCTCTCTGTTCGTCGAAATCTCCTTCGCGCTCTCTCGGCGCGATTAGACAGTCTGGTGCACTCGTTGCGCATTTGCAACGTTCGCGCGTGTGTGGGTCTTGCATTCCAGGAAACATCGCGGTCACTTCGCTCTGTCTCTCGTGTTGCACGGCGCGGCGTAACGAAAAGCGCGCGCCGCGACAACGACGCGTCAGCAGCACAGCCAGCACGGGACTCTCGCACTCGTGAAGTTGCGTCAGTTCTCGAATCCGAATGGAGAAACATGATCTCGTATTTCGCTCACCGGCCTCCGTCCAACTTCCACAACTGCTGGCTCAAATAAAACTTTCGCTGAAGATGCAGCAAGCCGCGGGATGCGAAAGTTGAAAATTAAAAGATATCTAGCAAAAACGAGAATGGATTAAAATGGATTGAAATTTTTTTCTATCCGAATGCGTATTTTAAATAGCGAATACTTCTTTTTGGACTTAATTGGATTCAATTGAATTCAATTAGATTCAATTGGATGCAATTGGATTGAAAAACTGCCTTTCCTATTCAAAATTTTGAATTAAACAGTATTCACAATGCATAGAAAAAGCTAATATTATTTTTAGATTGAAAGGCATAGAGATATGCTCCATGCAATTCCTATAAATGAATAAAAATGCATTCAAGATTGAAAAGCATTCATTTTAACATTTGTGAATCAATATTTCTAAAAATCTGAATTCATTTCAATTCATTTCAATCCATTCTCGTTTGCTTGAATATTTCATGTTATATGTTATATTGACATTTCTTAGTGTTAATAATAGGTAATAATAATAATTGAAGGAGCTTAATTAAAATCAAAGCGAAGTCGATAGAAACTTCGAATGGAAATTTTGAATATACCTTTGTTCTCCATTGATAGATTGGAGATTGTTTCTGTTAATTTTATTTTATAATTCTAATTCTTTTTTTTTTCTTACGTTTAAATTATTTTTCGTTTTTTTTTTTATTTTGTTATACTTTTACATTTTTAAGAACTCCTTTCACTGATTCTATCCTATTTAAGTTAAATATATTTTATATTGCCATTTACTTCTCTCATATCTTTTACGATTTCTTTGAAGTATAGTTTATCAAGATAGTGAATCGCACATTTCAGA